GAGCCTAAGGCGAGCCTCTCCCTGCAAAACGACAGAGCTTGAGCGCACTCCAGGGTTTAGGATTTAGGATGGCTAATACGGTTCTGCAATGCAACGATTGCTGAACCGTTCCGCAATTTCATTATGCAGCTTTCTTTAGAGAAAGACTTGGACACGCGCTCTTGATATAAAACCAATACTCTAGAGCCTCGTTTCAACTTTTAGAACAAGCTTAGATCCTCATAGCTTACTCAATGTCGGCAAGGCGGGTCACGAGGGTCAGAGCCACAGGAACAGGCAACTTCATGTTCTGCATCTGATTGTGCAGAGCTGCAACAGAAACCCAACTCCTAAACGCTAAACTCTTAGGCTTACCGCTGGGGCCCCTCACACCTCAGTCCCCTCACGCGTGTCAAAAAACATGAAACGCCAGCAGGGTTTTAACAGCGAAGAGCAGTGGACCCAACGAAGGGGTATACAGCGGAGCCCCAGCCTCCCTGATTCTGATTCGGGGCGTTCTAAGGGCCAGGTCCATGNGCCATCATACGCCCACCTCCAACCCACCTCCAACCCAATCGCGCACGGAATAACCTCTCCTCGTTACCAATCCATGAAACTCTGCATACAGACAGTTGTTAAACCCCAGGCAGCATGCTTCACTTTAGTTCAGTTTACAGGACTATCTTGAGACCATTGCACTGGGCAGGCACCTGTTGCTGATAAAGCCAAACTCTAAGCAGCATTGAATGCTTGCACGCAACGCCCCAGATGCAGCTGCTCTGAAGAGAGTTGCTTTCCCGCTGCTCTCCCCGTGCTGCTCTCAAATGCATGCTTGAAGAGCGTTAGAGGCCTAGGACTCGCAAGGGTTTAGAGGGGCAGCAAGAAGAGGGAATTTCCGCTTTCGAATTTACCTGAAGAGCACGTGCCCAAGTCTTTCTCCAAAAGAACCTGCATAATGGACTTCACTTCACTTGGCTGAGGTAACCCGAGCACGCGGTGCACCAACTCGCCGTCGACGGGCTCCCCTGGGTGAGCCATGCAGGCCGCCTGCGCAAACACTAAACCCAAAACCTTAAGGCGTACACCTCAACCCCTAAGCCCTGACATCCTTTTCGAGTCGTTCAACCTAGAGCGAGAAGCACCGTAGACCCACTTGCATGCAGTTGAGAAGCCGACGCATGTCTCCACTGGCTGCGAAGGAAAGGAAGCAGTTATAAGCCGCCGGCCGAGAGCTAAATTCATGTAAGTCTTTAGCCAGTCGCACTTTACCTCTTACACTTCTATGTCCGAATTTAGACTTACCGATTCGCAAGAGAGCTTCGTAACCGTCCTCTGTGACGGACATGCTGCGACAGCGCAAAGTCACAGCCAAAACCCCAACCCCTCAACCCTACGCCCTGTGAAAGAAAACTTGGATAAGGTCAAGGATAGTAACCGAAAAGGGTTTTTCGTTCGGCAGACCCACCTCTCTAATTTTGCAGCTTCTTCCGCTTTCCGCCTGAGCTGAAGCAAAACCCAAAACCGTATGCCTAAGCCCCCAGACCTAATTCTTAAACCCTTTCTCGTAGCATCAACAAGCACGCAAAGAAAACACTGCCGCACGCGATTGCCAGCCTCTAAATCATCCCCAAAGTCGCACCCTTCAACGTTAGTCTCACCGCCTCAGGTTTGAGGGGAGTGAAGCGCATGCTGCAGACATGAAACGCAAGAAAAGGGCCCCACTTCCGATAAACCGCTGCAGCGAAAACAACAGCTACGCCAACAACTTCAAAATTGGCAGCGGATGCTGCATCAATGCATTACCTAGTGCATCTCGACTGAATCGCGGGAGTTATTTTGTTGACAAAGTTGCATATCAGACAAAACCGCACATTCCGCGCGTAAGTTTCCATGACTGCGACACACAAGCCCTCAAGACTAAACCCTGAATGGTCGACAGAGGACAATTTTTATTAGCTGCGTTAAGCATTGTTGGCTTCAAGCAACTGAATAAGTTTGTAAGAAGTATCGTCGCAACAGCAGCGGATGGCATAGCAGCAACCGTGCAAAATTAGCAGCAGCTGCAGTAGCAGCAAAAATTGTGGCAGAAACAGTAGCACCAGCGGACTTCTTCTAAGCGCATTCTGAGCTGCCGATGTCATTTGATCTGCTTCATCCAGTATGATCAGTTTGAGTTTGGGGGGCCCGGAGGGGGCAGACCCAGACCTGCGTACAGCGCAATCCTCAAACACTAAACGCTGAACACTAGGGTGACCCCAAATACGGAGTTTCGGCAGCCGCTTCGACAGTCTCACTAAATCTGCTGTTTATGGCTGCCGGCCGCGGCTCGCCACCTTAGCACAGTTGGTAGTGCGTTTGATTCGTAATCAAAAGGTCGTGGGTTCGACTCCCACAGGTGGCTTTTTCTCTCGTGCTTTGCTGCATTTGCGCTTATGTTGGCTCGTCGCGTACAGCGAAAAAGAAGCAGAAGTGGTCTCCGCGAATGTCTTCACCAACTCTCGCACCGACCCAATTCCTCTGTCGTCCGAAGCATTTAACTGCAACAGCAGCAGCAGAAACGGGAATAGCAGCAACAACGGAAATCGCAGCGACACTCCCAACGGCAATAATGTCCGTACAACGAGTTTTCCACTGGACTTTCTCCCTTTGCCTGCCCAGCAGATCGATCTAGGGCTTAGGGTTGAGGGCTCAGCGTCTACCTCCAGCACGTGTGAGGCCTGCTGCGAGCCGTAGAGTTGCCTGGCCACGGCCAAAATGGTGGACGTCTTGCCAGTTCCTGCGTCCAAATTCTCACATAGAAGTCCCACACCCTAAGCCCCAAAACCTACTCCCTCAAACTTCAACTCAATATACTTGATATTGGGAACCTCGCCGACAACTTTGGCTGCAGGCATCCCATCTACCAACACCACAGATCGAAGACATGAGAGAATCCATAAAGACCCTATGCACTGAAGCGTTGGCGCTAAACCCTAAAACCTAAACGCGAGGGTGGCTCACCAGGAGGGCCATGGAAGAGAAGGTGGGGCAGTTGCCCCTTGTCCACATACCGTTGAACTGCACAGCAAAATCGGAAATCATAAAGCGAAAACCCTGAACCCTGAAGTTTGAAATCGAGCCGTCGGCTTATCCTCTACAGTGCGTGCAGTTAGGGAAGTACGAGGGGGCTTATGGCCCGGTGATGCATAGCCTTTACTGTCTAGGGTTTGGAAAGACTTGCTTGTCTGAATGATGTCGTCATGGGAGAGAATATCACTCAGGGTCCTCGGGCGATAGCGCTCCACCTGCACCACAAGCGCTAAAGCCGAAGTATTGAACCACTGGCTTCTTTACCCAGACATACAGCGTAAGAATTAATCTGTATGTCCATAGATAAGTAGGCATCCTCCGGGCTTTCAAAGTCAGCGGCATAAGCTAGGGCTTTAGGCCAGGTTCTAGCGTTTGAACGATACCCATGGGAGGTCCCCGCCTTCAGTTGAAGCCACACAGCCACCTCCTACAGCCCCCTGTTGATTTCTACTTTCATCCATTTTACTTGTTCCTGTAGCAGCTGTTTCTGCGTTGACTGTTGCTCTGGGTGTATCTGATGCTGCTCCTGTTGCCGTCGTTGCGACTGCCTTTGTGATATGTTTTCCGGCGGACGGTTGGTAAGGCGGACGTTGCTGCGCTGCAGCAGCAGATATTTCAGTAGCAAAGTCTGCTGCGGCTGCCCCTGCCAGCTTCAGCACTAGGTTGTAGCAAGTGCCTCCGTCGGCAGCGGCAGCAACAGCAATGGCAGCGGAGACAGTGGAATCGCTGCACGCAGCAACACGCTCTTCTAATACAGTCCCGTCGAGAGAAATACAACATAAATACTAAACAAAGCTGTAACGGCTGCCTGTTAAAGCTGCTGCTGGGTCGTACGGCGAATCGAGGGTTGCTCCACGCGGTGGGGAGGGGTTGGGGGCCCCCGGGCCCCACAAGCAACAGGAGCAGCAGCGTCAACGGGCTTCTTCACCTGCTGCTGTTGCTGGTGATGCTGCTGTGCGCATGTCCTAAGGCGACCAAAGATAGGTGTCCTATCTTACATTCCGTACATAGTTGGTGAATGTTGAGATGATAGCGCTAGCAGCAACTTGCGGCTGCTGCTTTCTTCAACCGCTGCTGCAGCTAACTCAGCAGCGGCGCCAGTAGCTTCAAGAGCTACCCGGGTAAGGAGCAAGGGAACAATCCCTATAGTGTCTTGCCTTCTTCCTTGCCTTCCTTGGGAGCGTTGCCTCATTTGAAACGCAAACGTCCTGCGGATGCCAAGCTGTTGCTGCTGTTGCCGTTGCTGCAGCGACGGCGGTCGGACGTGAAGTCACCTCGGCAGTTGCAGACATCGTAAAGAAGAAGCAGCAGCAACTGTAGCAGCAACAATACCTACAGGACCTTCAATATTACGAGTTACAGGTTTAACTATCACAGCGACACCAACGGCAACATCGGCAAGAAAGCAGAAGCAGTAGCAGTAGCAACGGGAACAGCAACTACACTAGGTGTCAAGACAGCTAGAGACGCAGGAGGCAGCAGCGACGGTTCGCTGCAGCAGATCCTGTATGTTCTGTGGAACCAAGATGTGATGCAGCAGCCACGGCAACAACAGCAGCAGCTGCCAGAGCAGCAGCAACAGCTGCTAGAGCAACAGCTGCTGGAGCGCCAGCTTGTGGAGCAACAGCTGCAGCATGCGCAACAGCAACAGGTGCAGCAACCAGGGATACAACGGCCGGAGCAACCACAACGCCTACCCCAGCAGCGGCCACAGTTGGAGCAGCAGCATCCGCCTCTGCAACCGTTGCTGAGCCGATATCCACATGCCCATCAACAGACGGAACCTCAGGAGCAGCAACACCATGTTATGCGACGGCTGCAGCAGGATGGTTCGCTGAAGCACCAATGGGAGCAACGGCAGCTGCTGTTGCAACAACATCAGCAGCAGCAACTGTTGCATCATCAACAACTGCAGCAGTTTCAACAGTTTCAGCAGCAAGACTTGAACCTGATGGAGCAGCAGCAGTTGACTAGACGTCACTACATGCAGCAGCAAGCGCTTCTGCAGGAGCAGCAGCAGCAGATGCATCGGCTGCAGTCCCAGCAGCACCAGCAGGCGCAGCATCATAACGAGCGCCAGCTGCAGCAGCAGTTGCTGAGACATCATTCTTTTTGTGAGAATGCTGGGGTAACAGGTTCACGCCTCCAGCTGTCGGGATGTCGCAGTGGCAGCCGCCGGAGTTCCAGCGAGTTGCCGTCCGGTCTTGCTGTAGCAGCAACTGCAGCAGCAACAGGTGCTGCTGCTGCTCAGCGGGCTGCTGCTCCTTCAGCAGCAGCCGGCACCGACGATGCTGCAGCTGGAGCTGCCACCCAAACAGCAGCAGCAAAAACAAGGGTCATGGGTTGCAGGAGGCTTCCCGCTGCAGCGGCGCAGCTGCTACGGGGGTGTCTCTCCAGTCAGATGGTTGGGCCGCGGTTTTCAGACTTGGCACTGCTACCTCGACTGTTTCATCTCCTTGCGCATCCCAGCAGCAACAGCACAAACAGCGGCAGCAATAGTAATAACACTTGTGGGACGGGCGAGAGCAACAACAGCACCACGAACAGCAGCAACCACAACAGCAACAGCAGAGAACTTTATCTCCGGGCAGCAGANTATTGTTGCTGTTGGTGTTGCTGTGTTGCTGTTGCTGTTGTTTTTGCTCCTAGTTGCTTCCGTGATGCTGCGTACTGCCTCTGCACGAACTGCTGTGGCTACCGGAGCGGGTCTTCCTTGTTTGTGGGATTTCATGGCGGTAACAACGGCTGGAAGGAACTGCACTTGCAACAAATGCTGAGGCTGCCTGTTCTGCTGCTTCTGTTGCTGCTGCTTTGCGTTTGCTGCCTTCAGCGCCGCAGCGTCTTGCGCAACCCCATATGCGCCCTGAAGGCTCTCATTGTGGCGCACAGGCTCTTGGCGCAGGTGAGGATTCTGGGATCTAGGTTGGATCAGGTCAGAAGGGGTTTCTTGTCTCAAATGTGTAGTCCTGGTTTTTACTAATGAAGTTAGGGTTTAGGGCCTAGCCACTGGGGTTTGACCACGGAGTTTGTGGGCAGGTTCCTGTCGACGCCTTTCTTGGGTCCTCCCTGCAAAAACTCCCTGGGCAAATACTGCGTGTTTGGTCGGCCACAGCCTTGCAACCTGCGGCGGAAGCTGCAGCAGCCGCAGCAGCCGCAGTGGCNTGCGTGTTTGGTCGGCCACAGCCTTGCAACCTGCGGCGGAAGCTGCAGCAGCCGCAGCAGCCGCAGTGGCCGACGGGGACGCGGGTGCAGCTTCAGCAAGAGCTGCGACAGCAACGGCAGCAGCAGCAGCAGCAGCCGCATCCACCCCTGAGGGTGCAGTTTGTGCGTGCGCGGACTTCTTCGCTGAGAAACTGCGGCTCCATCTACAGCTGGTAGATTGCTGCATTGGTGAGTAGGAGAAGCAGCAGGATATGGCAATGCAAGTGGAGCAGATGGCGTAGCAATGACTACAACAGCAGCAGACCCAAGTGCAGTGCCGGCAGGGACAGTTCTTCAAGGTTGTTTTGGATTTTGAATAGCCTCTAAGGCCGTTTGAGTTTGCAGTCCCGTTGGCGCTGCTTCATGGTATGCGTCTTAGATGCTGTTTTTGTTGCCTCTGCTGAAGGAACCTGGTCTGTCTCTCGGTTTCTGCGGGCGAATGGGGTGTCTCTTGAAACGCTCGTGGCTTTTGAAGCGGAAGGCGTCGTCTCTCTTAATGCTTCTGTTTCCCTGCAGTGAGTTCATGCTGCAGCAGCTGCTGTCGCTGCTGCTGTTCTTGCTGCAGTACCAACTGCTATTGCTGTTGCTGCAAATGGCGAGCCGCTCGTCACCGTCCACACTTAGAGGCCCTGAGCTAGCACGAGTATNTTGCTGTTGCTGCAAATGGCGAGCCGCTCGTCACCGTCCACACTTAGAGGCCCTGAGCTAGCACGAGTATGATTTCGATGTAGATTGTAGGGCGTAGTCAATCGGATAGGGTTTAGCATTTGAGAAGGGGAACGGATTGAGGAATTGATGCTGCGCAGCCGCAGCAGGGGCAGCTGCAGGCAGTAACATGCTTCTAACACTGCTTGCCATTTTGCTGCAGCAACAGCAAATGCGGCAGCAAGACAAAAGCTACCGCAACGGCAGCAGTAGCAACGGTTGTCCGTGTAGGAACTGCTGCAGCAACGGTAAGTACCTGCGCTCGGGGCCAGCTGATGCTGCACTGTGCTGCAGGCTGGTCAGCATGCTGCACCGCGCATGCACTTTATGTCTGCTGCTGCTGCAGCAGAGGGGCACAAGCCTCTTTGCTGTGAGCAGCATTTACTTGGTGCTGCTTGTGGATGACGTTTGGGGGGTCGCGGCGCTGCTGCTGCGGCTGCTGCACGCGCTGTTGCAGCGCTGCATGCGCCCAGCAGTCGCTGCTGGGGGAGCCTCGGCGTTGGTCTCAGTCCTGGCTTCTCTTGCGAACCCTCTAAGGGAGGCCCTGAGGGATATGCAGTTAGTAGCAGGTACGGCCAGACGGCAACAGCAACAGCAGCAGCAGTAAGAGCAGCAGTAGCAGCAGCAGCAACAGTGATAGGGATAGGCGGGGCGAGAGGATTAACAACGGCAGAAGCTAGNTGCGCTGCTGCCGCGAGCTACTGCTCGCTGCTGAAGCGCATGCGCTCCCCACCGCCTGAGGCGTTGCTGCTGCTTGATGACTTCAAGAAGCAGTACCAGCAGCAGCAACATTCGTCTCGGCTGCTGCTGCCGAGGAATCAGCTGCTCCCCTACAGGCCTTCTTCTGCAGCACGGAGGTCCATGCAGGCTGTTGCGCAACTCCCTCTTCCGGCTGACCTGGAGGCTGTTGCTGTTGCTGCAGCAGCGGGAACAGAAGCGGCAGCAGCTGCAGCAACCGCGGATGCCAAGTGGATTGAATTCCTTAATATTGAGGAGGTGTATTTTCTGCTCAAGGACACCTCCGTAGAAGTGGCATTGCTTTTGCAGGAGCAGTCCAGTAACGACAGAGGCAGTAACGCGCGCAGCAGCAGCAGCAACAGCAACAGCCCCAGCGGCAACAGCGTGGCTGACAGTAGCGGCGGCCAGCGGAAAATCGAGGGACACCAACTAGAAGATGGGCAGCTGCAATGCCGACCACCAACACATCCGGCAAGTGAGGGAGCAGCCGCTGGAGCAGCAGCAGTTCGTGCTGCTGTGGCTGCTGCAGAATCTCACCACTTATGCTTCAGCAGCGGATGCAACAGCGGCTCATCTGCTGTAGTAGCGTCAGATGGGGCAGACTCCCAACAGCAACAGCAGCAGCAAACACTGCAGCAACAACGGCAGTTTCAGCAGCCGCAACAGCAACAACAGAAGGGTAGGGGACTTGCTCCAAGTTTCATCGCAGGAG